CCTGGATTGTCTGTTTCGGGAGGTGATTGTATATTGTCAAAATGCAGGAAATAAAGGCTTATGTTTTGGAATACGTTGGTCGGGATCCTTTCCTGTACATCTCTGTCGCAATCAGTGAATGGGAAACACTGTGTTGCTTTACAATACCCATCTGCAGTAACCACGAAGTGCTACGGAGTACAAATATTCCAACGATTCCTACATGCTTTGAAAAGGCAGCAATAGATGCGGGTGTAGGTGTAACATGACTTCTTTTGTTCATGATTAGATGAGTAATCGCTTGAATGAAGCTAAATGCAGTCTGGTATTAATTTTTGTAACGTATTCTCGGTGGGCGACCATGGAGATCTCATCATAGACGATTCGTTGACGCATTGACACATGGTCAAGAGGCATGTCAGTGTCCTCCCGGCTCTACATGTCCGTTTCCGGGAATTGATTGGTGATGACTAGTGCATTTTGCCTGTACTTTGTTAGCCGCCTGCGCTAAACACAACACAGAGAGGACGGAACTGTGCCTACATGTGAGATCGCAAATGCCGCACTGATCAGGAAGATCAAGAGCGACGCTAAAAAAGACACACACGAACCCGGAAACGACCTAGAAAACAATGATGTGATCACCAAACTGAAATCAACGACGTCGACAATGGAGCTACGTCACGGCTTGTTGTGTTCTCCAAACAGATGACATCATAGATGGATAACGTCAACAATCAGCTGACGTCAGAGACAATCAGACTCTCTGCAATGCACGCGACAGACGGATGTGTTGCTTTCGGAAACCACATGTCGGCATAACAAAGGCCAGTACTGATCAGATGGCACTGGTGTTTGGATCAGGTAAGCTTATATTTTAAGTTCCTTGAGGTGAAACAGTTTTAATTGGTATCTAAACACTGTTGAAAGCTGAAAAGTGACAATGGCGCGCGTCCAGAAGACTGCTACGGCTTTTTTTTATGGTTCATTGATCTTTACGTCTTTATTTTCTTGTCATTTCAAGTGATTTGACAAAGTCGACGTCGATGTTGAAGCTGTCCCACGCGGACGTAACCTTTGACGTAATTTAATAGTCTACCAATGAATAATTTTGCTGTTTTCATGCGACGCAAGCAGGTCATCAAAACATGTTATACATGCTTGTCTAATGAAGAAGCAGCCACAAGACTATGGTTACTGAGATTAATAACGTCTGACAACCGTCCCAAATGCCTGGATTGTCTGTTTCGGGAGGTGATTGTATATTGTCAAAATGCAGGAAATAAAGGCTTATGTTTTGGAATACGTTGGTCGGGATCCTTTCCTGTACATCTCTGTCGCAATCAGTGAATGAGAAACACTGTGTTGCTTTACAATACCCATCTGTAGTAACCACGAAGTGCTACAGAGTACAAATATTCCAACGATTCCTACATGCTTTGAAAAGGCAGCAATAGATGCGGGTGTAGGTGTAACATGACTTCTTTTGTTCATGATTAGATGAGTAATCGCTTGAATGAAGCTAAATGCAGTCTGGTATTAATTTTTGTAACGTATTCTCGGTGGGCGACCATGGAGATCTCATCATAGACGATTCGTTGACGCATTGACACATGGTCAAGAGGCATGTCAGTGTCCTCCCGGCTCTACATGTCCGTTTCCGGGAATTGATTGGTGATGACTAGTGCAGTTTGCCTGTTCTTTGTTAGCCGCCTGCGCTAAACACGACACAGAGAGGACGGAACTGTGCCTACATGTGGGATCGCAAATGCCGCACTGATCAGGAAGATCAAGAGCGACGCTAAAAAAGCCACACACGGACCCGGAAACGACCTAGAAAACAATGATGTGATCACCAAACTGAAATCAATGACGTCGACAATGGAGCTACGTCACGGCTTGTTGTGTTCTCCAAACAGATGACATCATAGATGGATAACGTCAACAATCAGCTGACGTCAGAGACAATCAGACTCTCTGCACTGCACGCGACAGACGGATGTGTTGCTTTCGGAAACCACATGTCGGCATAACAAAGGCCAATACTGATCAGATGGCACTGGTGTTTGGATCAGGTAAGCTTATATTTTAAGTTCCTTGAGGTGAAAACAGTCTTAATTGGTATCTAAACACTGTTGAAAGCTGAAAAGTGACAATGGCGCGCGTCCAGAAGACTGCTACGGCTTTTTTTTATGGTTCATTGATCTTTACGTCTTTATTTTCTTGTCATTTCAAGTGATTTGACAAAGTCGACGTCGATGTTGAAGCTGTCCCACGCGGACGTAACCTTTGACGTAATTTAATAGTCTACCAATGAATAATTTTGCTGTTTTCATGCGACGCAAGCAGGTCATCAAAACATGTTATACATGCTAGTCTAATGAAGAAGCAGCCACAAGACTATGGTTACTGAGATTAATAACGTCTGACAACCGTCCCAAATGCCTGGATTGTCTGTTTCGGGAGGTGATTGTATATTGTCAAAATGCAGGAAATAAAGGCTTATGTTTTGGAATACGTTGGTCGGGATCCTTTCCTGTACATCTCTGTCGCAATCAGTGAATGAGAAACACTGTGTTGCTTTACAATACCCATCTGTAGTAACCACGAAGTGCTACAGAGTACAAATATTCCAACGATTCCTACATGCTTTGAAAAGGCAGCAATAGATGCGGGTGTAGGTGTAACATGACTTCTTTTGTTCATGATTAGATGAGTAATCGCTTGAATGAAGCTAAATGCAGTCTGGTATTAATTTTTGTAACGTATTCTCGGTGGGCGACCATGGAGATCTCATCATAGACGATTCGTTGACGCATTGACACATGGTCAAGAGGCATGTCAGTGTCCTCCCGGCTCTACATGTCCGTTTCCGGGAATTGATTGGTGATGACTAGTGCAGTTTGCCTGTACTTTGTTAGCCGCCTGCGCTAAACACAACACAGAGAGGACGGAACTGTGCCTACATGTGAGATCGCAAATGCCGCACTGAGCAGGAAGATCAAGAGCGACGCTAAAAAAGACACACACGAACCCGGAAACGACCTAGAAAACAATGATGTGGTCACCAAACTGAAATCAACGACGTCGACAATGGAGCTACGTCACGGCTTGTTGTGTTCTCCAAACAGATGACATCATAGATGGATAACGTCAACAATCAGCTGACGTCAGAGACAATCAGACTCTCTGCACTGCACGCGACAGACGGATGTGTTGCTTTCGGAAACCACATGTCGGCATAACAAAGGCCAGTACTGATCAGATGGCACTGGTGTTTGGATCAGGTAAGCTTATATTTTAAGTTCCTTGAGGTGAAACAGTTTTAATTGGTATCTAAACACTGTTGAAAGCTGAAAAGTGACAATGGCGCGCGTCCAGAAGACTGCTACGGCTTTTTTTTATGGTTCATTGATCTTTACGTCTTTATTTTCTTGTCATTTCAAGTGATTTGACAAAGTCGACGTCGATGTTGAAGCTGTCCCACGCGGACGTAACCTTTGACGTAATTTAATAGTCTACCAATGAATAATTTTGCTGTTTTCATGCGACGCAAGCAGGTCATCAAAACATGTTATACATGCTAGTCTAATGAAGAAGCAGCCACAAGACTATGGTTACTGAGATTAATAACGTCTGACAACCGTCCCAAATGCCTGGATTGTCTGTTTCGGGAGGTGATTGTATATTGTCAAAATGCAGGAAATAAAGGCTTATGTTTTGGAATACGTTGGTCGGGATCCTTTCCTGTACATCTCTGTCGCAATCAGTGAATGACAAACACTGTGTTGCTTTACAATACCCATCTGTAGTAACCACGAAGTGCTACAGAGTACAAATATTCCAACGATTCCTACATGCTTTGAAAAGGCAGCAATAGATGCGGATGTAGGTGTAACATGACTTCTTTTGTTCATGATTAGATGAGTAATCGCTTGAATGAAGCTAAATGCAGTCTGGTATTAATTTTTGTAACGTATTCTCGGTGGGCGACCATGGAGATCTCATCATAGACGATTCGTTGACGCATTGACACATGGTCAAGAGGCATGTCAGTGTCCTCCCGGCTCTACATGTCCGTTTCCGGGAATTGATTGGTGATGACTAGTGCAGTTTGCCTGTTCTTTGTTAGCCGCCTGCGCTAAACACAACACAGAGAGGACGGAACTGTGCCTACATGTGGGATCGCAAATGCCGCACTGATCAGGAAGATCAAGAGCGACGCTAAAAAAGCCACACACGGACCCGGAAACGACCTAGAAAACAATGATGTGATCACCAAACTGAAATCAATGACGTCGACAATGGAGCTACGTCACGGCTTGTTGTGTTCTCCAAACAGATGACATCATAGATGGATAACGTCAACAATCAGCTGACGTCAGAGACAATCAGACTCTCTGCACTGCACGCGACAGACGGATGTGTTGCTTTCGGAAACCACATGTCGGCATAACAAAGGCCAATACTGATCAGATGGCACTGGTGTTTGGATCAGGTAAGCTTATGTTTTAAGTTCCTTGAGGTGAAAACAGTTTTAATTGTATTTAAACACTGTTGAAAGCCGAAAAATGACAATGGCGCGCGTCCAGAAGACTGCTATGGCTTTTTTTTATGGTTCATTGATCTTTACGTCTTTATTTTCTTGTCATTTTAAGTGACGTCGATGTTGAAGCTGTCCCACGCGGACGTAACCTTTGACGTAATTTAATAGTCTACCAATGAATTAATTTTGCTGTTTTCATGCGACGCAAGAAGGTCATCAAAACATGTTATACATGCTAGTCTAATGAAGAAGCAGCCACAAGACTATGGTTACTGAGATTAATAACGTCTGACAACCGTCCCAAATGCCTGGATTGTCTGTTTCGGAAGGTGATTGTATATTGTCAATATTGCAGGAAATAAAGGCTTATGTTTTGGAATACGTTGGTCGGGATCCTTTCCTGTACATCTCTGTCGCAATCAGTGAATGAGAAACACCGTGTTGCTTTACAATACCCATCTGTAGTAATCACGAAGTGCTACAGAGTACAAATATTCCAACGATTCCTACATGCTTTGAAAAGGCAGCAATAGATGCGGGTGTAGGTGTAACATGACTTCTTTTGTTCATGATTAGATGAGTAATCGCTTGAATGAAGCTAAATGCAGTCTGGTATTAATTTTTGTAACGTATTCTCGGTGGGCGACCATGGAGATCTCATCATAGACGATTCGTTGACGCATTGACACATGGTCAAGAGGCATGTCAGTGTCCTCCCGGCTCTACATGTCCGTTTCCGGGAATTGATTGGTGATGACTAGTGCAGTTTGCCTGTACTTTGTTAGCCGCCTGCGCTAATCACAACACAGAGAGGACGGAACTGTGACTACATGTGAGATCGCAAATGCCGCACTGATCAGGAAGATCAAGAGCGACGCTAAAAAAGCCACACACGGACCCGGAAACGACCTAGAAAACAATGATGTGATCACCAAACTGAAATCAATGACGTCGACAATGGAGCTCCGTCACGGCTTGTTGTGTTCTCCAAACAGATGACATCATAGATGGATAACGTCAACAATCAGCTGACGTCAGAGACAATCAGACTCTCTGCACTGCACGCGACAGACGGATGTGTTGCTTTCGGAAACCACATGTCGGCATAACAAAGGCCAATACTGATCAGATGGCACTGGTGTTTGGATCAGGTAAGCTTATATTTTAAGTTCCTTGAGGTGAAAACAGTTTTAATTGTATTTAAACACTGTTGAAAGCTGAAAAGTGACAATGGCGCGCGTCCAGAAGACTGCTACGGCTTTTTTTATGCTTCATTGATCTTTACGTCTTTATTTTCTTGTCATTTCAAGTGATTTGACAAATTCGACGTCGATGTTGAAGCTGTCCCACGCGGACGTAACCTTTGACGTAATTTAATAGTCTACCAATGAATTAATTTTGCTGTTTTCATGCGACGCAAGCAGGTCATCAAAACATGTTATACATGCTAGTCTAATGAAGAAGCAGCCACAAGACTTTGGTTACTGAGATTAATAACGTCTGACAACCGTCCCAAATGCCTGGATTGTCTGTTTCGGGAGGTGATTGTATATTGTCAATATTGCAGGAAATAAAGGCTTATGTTTTGGAATACGTTGGTCGGGGTCCTTTCCTGTACATCTCTGTCGCAATCAGAGAATGAGAAACACCGTGTTGCTTTACAATACCCATCTGTAGTAACCACGAAGTGCTACAGAGTACAAATATTCCAACGATTCCTACATGCTTTGAAAAGGCAGCAATAGATGCGGGTGTAGGTGTAACATGACTTCTTTTGTTCATGATTTGATGAGTAATCGCTTGAATGAAGCTAAATGCAGTCTGGTATTAATTTTTGTAACGTATTCTCGGTGGGCGACCATGGAGATCTCATCATAGACGATTCGTTGACGCATTGACACATGGTCAAGAGGCATGTCAGTGTCCTCCCGGCTCTACATGTCCGTTTCCGGGAATTGATTGGTGATGACTAGTGCAGTTTGCCTGTTCTTTGTTAGCCGCCTGCGCTAAACACAACACAGAGAGGACGGAACTGTGCCTACATGTGAGATCGCAAATGCCGCACTGATCAGGAAGATCAAGAGCGACGCTAAAAAAGACACACAAGGACCCGGAAACGACCTAGAAAACAATGATGTGATCACCAAACTGAAATCAATGACGTCGACAATGGAGCTACGTCACGGCTTGTTGTGTTCTCCAAACAGATGACATCATAGATGGATAACGTCAACAATCAGCTGACGTCAGAGACAATCAGACTCTCTGCACTGCACGCGACAGACGGATGTGTTGCTTTCGGAAACCACATGTCGGCATAACAAAGGCCAGTACTGATCAGATGGCACTGGTGTTTGGATCAGGTAAGCTTATATTTTAAGTTCCTTGAGGTGAAACAGTTTTAATTGGTATCTAAACACTGTTGAAAGCTGAAAAGTGACAATGGCGCGCGTCCAGAAGACTGCTACGGCTTTTTTTTATGGTTCATTGATCTTTACGTCTTTATTTTCTTGTCATTTCAAGTGATTTGACAAATTCGACGTCGATGTTGAAGCTGTCCCACGCGGACGTAACCTTTGACGTAATTTAATAGTCTACCAATGAATTAATTTTGCTGTTTTCATGCGACGCAAGCAGGTCATCAAAACATGTTATACATGCTAGTCTATTGAAGAAGCAGCCACAAGACTTTGGTTACTGAGATTAATAACGTCTGACAACCGTCCCAAATGCCTGGATTGTCTGTTTCGGGAGGTGATTGTATATTGTCAATATTGCAGGAAATAAAGGCTTATGTTTTGGAATATGTTGGTCGGGATCCTTTCCTGTACATCTCTGTCGCAATCAGTGAATGAGAAACACCGTGTTGCTTTACAATACCCATCTGTAGTAACCACGAAGTGCTACAGAGTACAAATATTCCAACGATTCCTACATGCTTTGAAAAGGCAGCAATAGATGCGGGTGTAGGTGTAACATGACTTCTTTTGTTCATGATTAGATGAGTAATCGCTTGAATGAAGCTAAATGCAGTCTGGTATTAATTTTTGTAACGTATTCTCGGTGGGCGACCATGGAGATCTCATCATAGACGATTCGTTGACGCATTGACACATGGTCAAGAGGCATGTCAGTGTCCTCCCGGCTCTACATGCCCGTTTCCGGGAATTGATTGGTGATGACTAGTGCAGTTTGCCTGTACGTTGTTAGCCGCCTGCGCTAAACACAACACAGAGAGGACGGAACTGTGCCTACATGTGAGATCGCAAATGCCGCACTGATCAGGAAGATCAAGAGCGACGCTAAAAAAGCCACACACGGACCCGGAAACGACCTAGAAAACAATGATGTGATCACCAAACTGAAATCAATGACGTCGACAATGGAGCTACGTCACGGCTTGTTGTGTTCTCCAAACAGATGACATCATAGATGGATAACGTCAACAATCAGCTGACGTCAGAGACAATCAGACTCTCTGCACTGCACGCGACAGACGGATGTGTTGCTTTCGGAAACCACATGTCGGCATAACAAAGGCCAGTACTGATCAGATGGCACTGGTGTTTGGATCAGGTAAGCTTATGTTTTAAGTTCCTTGAGGTGAAAACAGTTTTAATTGTATTTAAACACTGTTGAAAGCTGAAAAGTGACAATGGCGCGCGTCCAGAAGACTGCTATGGCTTTTTTTTATGGTTCATTGATCTTTACGTCTTTATTTTCTTGTCATTTTAAGTGACGTCGATGTTGAAGCTGTCCCACGCGGACGTAACCTTTGACGTAATTTAATAGTCTACCAATGAATTAATTTTGCTGTTTTCATGCGACGCAAGAAGGTCATCAAAACATGTTATACATGCTAGTCTAATGAAGAAGCAGCCACAAGACTATGGTTACTGAGATTAATAACGTCTGACAACCGTCCAAAATGCCTGGATTGTCTGTTTCGGGAGGTGATTGTATATTGTCAATATTGCAGGAAATAAAGGCTTATGTTTTGGAATACGTTGGTCGGGATCCTTTCCTGTACATCTCTGTCGCAATCAGTGAATGAGAAACACCGTGTTGCTTTACAATACCCATCTGTAGTAACCACGAAGTGCTACAGAGTACAAATATTCCAACGATTCCTACATGCTTTGAAAAGGCAGCAATAGATGCGGGTGTAGGTGTAACATGACTTCTTTTGTTCATGATTAGATGAGTAATCGCTTGAATGAAGCTAAATGCAGTCTGGTATTAATTTTTGTAACGTATTCTCGGTGGGCGACCATGGAGATCTCATCATAGACGATTCGTTGACGCATTGACACATGGTCAAGAGGCATGTCAGTGTCCTCCCGGCTCTACATGTCCGTTTCCGGGAATTGATTGGTGATGACTAGTGCAGTTTGCCTGTACTTTGTTAGCCGCCTGCGCTAAACACAACACAGAGAGGACGGAACTGTGCCTACATGTGAGATCGCAAATGCCGCACTGATCAGGAAGATCAAGAGCGACGCTAAAAAAGCCATACACAGACCCGGAAACGACCTAGAAAACAATGATGTGATCACCAAACTGAAATCAATGACGTCGACAATGGAGCTCCGTCACGGCTTGTTGTGTTCTCCAAACAGATGACATCATAGATGGATAACGTCAACAATCAGCTGACGTCAGAGACAATCAGACTCTCTGCACTGCACGCGACAGACGGATGTGTTGCTTTCGGAAACCACATGTCGGCATAACAAAGGCCAATACTGATCAGATGGCAATGGTGTTTGGATCAGGTAAGCTTATATTTTAAGTTCCTTGAGGTGAAAACAGTTTTAATTGTATTTAAACACTGTTGAAAGCTGAAAAGTGACAATGGCGCGCGTCCAGAAGACTGCTATGGCTTTTTTTATGGTTCATTGATCTTTACGTCTTTATTGTCTTGTCATTTTAAGTGACGTCGATGTTGAAGCTGTCCCACGCGGACGTAACCTTTGACGTAATTTAATGGTCTACCAATGAATTAATTTTGCTGTTTTCATGCGACGCAAGCAGGTCATCAAAACATGTTATACATGCTAGTCTAATGAAGAAGCAGCCACAAGACTATGGTTACTGAGATTAATAACGTCTGACAACCGTCCAAAATGCCTGGATTGTCTGTTTCGGGAGGTGATTGTATATTGTCAATATTGCAGGAAATAAAGGCTTATGTTTTGGAATACGTTGGTCGGGATCCTTTCCTGTACATCTCTGTCGCAATCAGAGAATGAGAAACACTGTGTTGCTTTACAATACCCATCTGTAGTAACCACGAAGTGCTACAGAGTACAAATATTCCAACGATTCCTACATGCTTTGAAAAGGCAGCAATAGATGCGGATGTAGGTGTAACATGACTTCTTTTGTTCATGATTAGATGAGTAATCGCTTGAATGAAGCTAAATGCAGTCTGGTATTAATTTTTGTAACGTATTCTCGGTGGGCGACCATGGAGATCTCATCATAGACGATTCGTTGACGCATTGACACATGGTCAAGAGGCATGTCAGTGTCCTCCCGGCTCTACATGTCCGTTTCCGGGAATTGATTGGTGATGACTAGTGCAGTTTGCCTGTACTTTGTTAGCCGCCTGCGCTAAACACAACACAGAGAGGACGGAACTGTGCCTACATGTGAGATTGCAAATGCCGCACTGATCAGGAAGATCAAGAGCGACGCTAAAAAAGCCATACACAGACCCGGAAACGACCTAGAAAACAATGATGTGATCACCAAACTGAAATCAATGACGTCGACAATGGAGCTACGTCACGGCTTGTTGTGTTCTCCAAACAGATGACATCACAGATGGATAACGTCAACAATCAGCTGACGTCAGAGACAATCAGACTCTCTGCACTGCACGCGACAGACGGATGTGTTGCTTTCGGAAACCACATGTCGGCATAACAAAGGCCAGTACCGATCAGATGGCACTGGTGTTTGGATCAGGTAAGCTTATGTTTTAAGTTCCTTGAGGTGAAAACAGTTTTTTATTGTATTTAAACACTGTTGAAAGCTGAAAAGTGACAATGGCGCGCGTCCAGAAGACTGCTATGGCTCTTTTTTATGGTTCATTGATCTTTACGTCTTTATTTTCTTGTCATTTTAAGTGACGTCGATGTTGAAGCTGTCCCACGCGGACGTAACCTTTGACGTAATTTAATGGTCTACCAATGAATTAATTTTGCTGTTTTCATGCGACGCAAGCAGGTCATCAAAACATGTTATACATGCTAGTCTAATGAAGAAGCAGCCACAAGACTATGGTTACTGAGATTAATAACGTCTGACAACCGTCCCAAATGCCTGGATTGTCTGTTTCGGGAGGTGATTGTATATTGTCAATATTGCAGGAAATAAAGGCTTATGTTTTGGAAAACGTTGGTCGGGATCCTTTCCTGTACATCTCTGTCGCAATCAGTGAATGAGAAACACTGTGTTGCTTTACAATACCCATCTGTAGTAACCACGAAGTGCTACAGAGTACAAATATTCCAACGATTCCTACATGCTTTGAAAAGGCAGCAATAGATGCGGGTGTAGGTGTAACATGACTTCTTTTGTTCATGATTAGATGAGTAATCGCTTGAATGAAGCTAAATGCAGTCTGGTATTAATTTTTGTAACGTATTCTCGGTGGGCGACCATGGAGATCTCATCATAGACGATTCGTTGACGCATTGACACATGGTCAAGAGGCATGTCAGTGTCCTCCCGGCTCTACATGTCCGTTTCCGGGAATTGATTGGTGATGACTAGTGCAGTTTGCCTGTACTTTGTTAGCCGCCTGCGCTAAACACAACACAGAGAGGACGGAACTGTGCCTACATGTGAGATCGCAAATGCCGCACTGATCAGGAAGATCAAGAGCGACGCTAAAAAAGCCACACACGGACCCGGAAACGACCTAGAAAACAATGATGTGGTCACCAAACTGAAATCAATGACGTCGACAATGGAGCTACGTCACGGCTTGTTGTGTTCTCCAAACAGATGACATCATAGATGGATAACGTCAACAATCAGCTGACGTCAGAGACAATCAGACTCTCTGCACTGCACGCGACAGACGGATGTGTTGCTTTCGGAAACCACATGTCGGCATAACAAAGGCCAGTACTGATCAGATGGCACTGGTGTTTGGATCAGGTAAGCTTATATTTTAAGTTCCTTGAGGTGAAAACAGTTTTAATTGGTATCTAAACACTGTTGAAAGCTGAAAAGTGACAATGGCGCGCGTCCAGAAGACTGCTATGGCTTTTTTTATGGTTCATTGATCTTTACGTCTTTATTTTCTTGTCATTTTAAGTGACGTCGATGTTGAAGCTGTCCCACGCGGACGTTACCTTTGACGTAATTTAATAGTCTACCAATGAATTAATTTTGCTGTTTTCATGCGACGCAAGCAGGTCATCAAAACATGTTATACATGCTAGTCTAATGAATAAGCAGCCACAAGACTATGGTTACTGAGATTAATAACGTCTGACAACCGTCCCAAATGCCTGGATTGTCTGTTTCGGGAGGTGATTGTATATTGCCAATATTGCAGGACAAGACAAGAAGTTTATTGTATGAAAGGCCTCCGGCCTATATACAAACACATACAATGTATACATACTTTCAACATATGTGCATTCTAGGAGACATTTGTATTTACAAGTTCTTGACGAATATTGAGTGCTTGATGGAGAAATTGAGCTAGGCTGTAGATTGCATCAGAAGATTGATTAGACATAAGTGATATAAGGGATGTGGTACATTGCTGTTTAAGGTATTTAGCGGGTATAAAACGTTTTGGGATATCTTGGTAAAACTCACAGATAAAAAGTACATGAAATTCGTCCTCAACACCCATATCACATAATAGACAAAAACGCATAGATTTTAACGTATTTTGTCTTCTTCCGGTATTTACTCTAATATTACTCAGTCCCATACGAAAACGCGTGAATGTTGAACGTAGATTTAAATTACAAAGGACACTTAAATATTTTTCAGGCTCCAGTAAGGATTTGAATGATCTATACACATCATGTCTGCTACTTGCATTTAAATTAGACATCCATGTTTGATAAAAGGTATTTACAATTCTTTCTTTGAACATATTTACAAACATACAGGTGTTACCAACTCCTTGATAAATCCAAGCATAGCCAAAGCCATTTGAGAACAAAAGTCCCCGGATATTTGATGCCCAAGTAACATATTGTAAGCTTTCCTTGGCAGTCGCTGTTTGTGCATAGTAAGTATTTTTAGCCAATATCTGATACAACGAATATATGAATTAACGTACAAAGGATATCTACCGCACTCTCCGTAAACAATATTATTAGGGGAGTTGACACCAATCATTAAACAATAATTTACAAGCAAGAAGGTGTACTTTTTCGATTGTATTAAAATGTTTAAAACCCCATAATTCAGGGCCATACAAAAGTATTGGTTGTATCTGTGTGTCAAACAATTTAAAGAATATACTTGGGGATAAAGGCTGGAGTTTAGATAGAGTTGACAATAACATGACCATGGCTTTTTTACCCCTTACAGATAAATCCTGATCAAGATTACCCATACTTATAGTATTTGTAAACAGAACACCTAGGTATTTATACTTACTAACAACTTTAACTCTCGAACCCTTATATAACCATTTTTCGACTGAAGCTAATGGGCCACTTCTTCTAAAAACGACTATGTTTGTGTTTTCTAAGTTTACAGTTTACTTCCAATCATCAGTGTAATCAGCCAAAATGTTTAATTGGTTCTGAAGACCTGAGACTGAGTGTGATATAAGAATAACATCATCAGCAAACAATAATAAGAACAATTCTAAAATATCCGGACGTAATTGGACCCCGTGTTTGCCACTATTCATTATTTCTGTACACAATTCGTTAATAAAGAATGAAAAAAGAATGGGACTTAATACGCATCCTTGTTTAAAGCCAAGCGGACAATAAAAAAAAGTCAGTGAATCACCTTTACAGCGCAAACACGCCCATACATTAGAGTACATACTTTTAAGAATCAGGTACATTTTGCCCCGTAATCCAGCTCTTCTAAGGCACTACCACAGTTTATGACGATTCACAGAATCAAAAGCCTTCCGGAAATCAACAAAAGCTGCATAGAGTTTTCTCCCACGTTTCATCAAATATTTTTCTGTAATTGCATTTAATGTAAAAATATGATCTGTAGTCGAATAGTGTTTTCTAAACCCGGCCTGATATTCTGGAATTCTACCCCTCATATTGGCCCTTAACGTTAGTCTGTTGTTTAATATACTCGAAAATACTTTCCCCAAAATACTGTTTAATGTTATACCTCTATAATTATCTGCATTGCTAGCATCTCCTTTCTTATGAATAGGTATAACAATGCCCTTCGACCACGAACTTGGAAATACGCCTGAACGAAAAATCATATTAAACAATTCTGTAAGATAGGGCAAAATTATCTCCCTTGATGATTGCAGCATTTCAGCAAGAATATTATCCAATCCCGGGGATTTACGTTTTTTAAGTGACTGAATTCCTGTCAGTATCGCATGACGTTGAATATCAGATTCAAGGATTTCCCGATCTATTTCAGAAAAGAAATCATCTTCATTTATAGGACCATATATGTTGAAAATACTTCTTTAAAATGAATTGCCCATTCAGCTTTTGAAATGCTACAAGCAGGGATGTTTCTCATGTTAATGGATCGAACCTCTTTCCAAAATTTCTTAGCATTTCTTATTCATTAGCAGGAAATAAAGGCTTATGTTTTGGAATACGTTGGTCGGGATCCTTTGTTACAACCCTTAATGTAAAAATTACTCTTAATGTAAAAAAATTTACATTAAGGGTTACGTTTTTACATTAAGAGTAACAGCCCGCAACTCTTAATGTAAAAAATATTTTTTTTACATTAAGGGTCAATATCGTACATATCGCCCCTTAATGTAAAATATTCTTATAAACAAAGTTTGATTTGAAATATAGGATACGTTTTGCTATGTTCACGTTTTTTATTGTTTTTGCTCGGTTTCTTGCAATTATTCGTAATAAGCGTAATTCGTAAAAGGTCCAAGTTCGGGAGGTATTAGGGAGGAATACCTTGGATAAAATATTCTCTGGTAAGACGTGTTATTGATTTTCTCTACAGATAACATGCCAATACTATTCTATTGGATAAAAGTATGTTTGGTTTCAGTAGCGCTACATTATGTATGTTTACATACATTGTATATCCAGCCGGAGAGATCGACCTGGTAATAATAACAAAGATAGACAAAATGGGGAAGAGATTTTGTTGTATTTTTTATTGAGTAGACTGTAAGAAGACCCAGCTGTTTCTATCATTGTACTTGGATTTGTTTGTTTGTTTGTTTTCCTGTTGTTTAACGCCGCACTCAGCAATATTCCAGCTACATGACAATGGTCTGTACATAATCGAGTCTTGACCAGACAATCCAGTGGTCGACATCATGAGCGTCGATCCACGCATTTGGGATATGAGTACATGCATCAACCAGGTCAGCGAGTCTGACCACGCGATCTCTTACGACAAGCATATGGTCGCCTTTTATGGCTAGAATGGGTTGCTGAAGACCTATTCTGCCCCGGATGTTCACAGGTCCATTGTACATAAACAGTAGAACCGGTGTGACGCGGGACTATGTGGAGAACGATGTTATTCACCATGTTGAAAGTAATAATTACTTAATAGATGTTTTTACACAATTTGAGATGGAAGGATATTCATGGGATAATTTACTTTGGAAAAACTCTTTTGGAAATGTGTTCAATTCTGAACATACATATTGTGAATGGAAGATTTGGAACTGACTATCAAATCGGTGACTATACATTTATTGGGTGAGTGAGTGAGTTGGGTTTAACGCCATTTTTAACAGTATTCCATTTATATCACGGCTTAATGTCAGTTTAATGTGGGAGGAAAGCCCGAAGTGATGCATGCCTCAGACGTTTATCACTTCGGTGAAACCCACGAGCACGGGTATGGTGCTGACCAAACTAGCAACATAATCGGGGCGAACCGGGATTCCAACCTACAATCATAGGTTTTTGGCGTCCCCAAGGGACGCAACTCTGCACAGAGAATCGCGGCGCCTTAGACGGCTGGAACACCCGTGCCTCCTATTGGGCATTTAGGGTGTAGGGTGATAGATTATGGTTTGGCATCGAGTGACATGGACCCCGATGATGATGAATGTCTCTGTAAAAAAACATGAACGGTGCCATTATGTAAATGCGTTCAGAAATAACTAAAGATAACTCATACCTTATTAAGTAAAACAAAGTTTGCAATGAATACAGATAACTGTGTGGAATCAAGAAGGACCAGTTTGCACAATGTAAAAGGAGTGACCTAGAAAATGCAGCAGCGGTAAACTCTAAACGTTTCTGGGACATCATAAAACGTATGGCTGGACGACCGCCACGACCCAACCCTATTGATATATAGAGAATCTCACCCGAGTGTCTTTTGATATCAAATGTATCAACACGAGTTGATAAAAGTGGAAAAATTCCGAGGCTTGCCGAGGATTTTTGCCACTTTTATCAACGAGTGTTGATATATTTGATATCAAAAGACACGAGGGTGAGATTTTATTTATCATCCAACATCATTCTTTCAACTTTTTCAATTTGTAGACAGTAATTAGCAGTGTCTTCAGTGTAAAAAGTACTGCAAACAGCTTCAGTAGCAGAGTAGTGATGTCATTTGATTGTGACGTCATGGTAACCAGTGACGTCACAATGGTCTGCAAAGCATTGTGATGTAATTTCATTGCAGCGATATCTACAGTGTAGATATCGCTTGATCTCATCCAAGAGATATCTCCTGTGGGAGCCAGTTTTGGATGATAAACAAGACTGGGGGACTATTTCTCGTCGCTGAATTCTGAACCAATGGGCATTCAGGATAATCTTGGTGAGGTGGAGGACATAGTGACAGGTCATGGTTATGCGCAAAAACTGACAATTGACATATTAGAATCCACAATCACCAGAACTTTTTGAAAGCATCAGTGCCTGGAAATATAATAAATCAGCTGGCTTGACGACATCTATAGAAGCCATTGTACAAACATGGTTTGAGTGCTAAAATGGGTAAAATGTTACAATCCTTGTACAGTAATGTGTTCGTTCAAACAACAGAGTATCTGGTATATTTGTTGCTTCATGGGTGTGCTACTTGGCTTGTCAGTCCAGATTTGAAGAGGTCGTAATGCGGCGATGTCGTACTGGCCACTCGAGATATACACATGAACATTTATTGAAAGGTTAGGATCCTCCATTTTGTATCCCTTGTGATGAGAGAATCCCGGTCAAGCATGTCCTGTCCAAAGGTACTATAAGTCCCCATGGTCCCTTGTATGGTGAACTACCTTCAATTGCTGGCGATCTATAGCCCGTTTTTCCAGTGTTTTGTTCTGTTTAGTAATAGCTTTTTATGGTCACATACTAGTTTTAAAAATTAATATCTGTGATAAGTCTGGTAATTTTACTGTCCTTTGGTGACAGGTTTTTATATAGTCTAAATTAATGTTTCCTTAATGTATTAATCGCTTTAGTCACGATATGGCTGAAATATTGCCGATGTGACTTTAAATATTAACTCACTCACTCACTTCATGGGAGTGAAGGGTGTATGCTTTGTCCCTTTTTGTTTCAGTTTTTTTCATAAACGCTTAAATAATATTCCAATTGAGGCAAGAAAGGTCTTCATGGTCCTGTTAATTAGTATACATTCCTTGAAACCATACTCGCCTCACTTTTACTTAAATGTTTTGATACAAAGATAACACCAATACTTTTATACGGGGCTGGAATTTGGGGGTTCAATGACATTGAACCGAGCCTGGCAGATTTTCTATTCAGACGCTCGCTGTTTTGAAATGTGTCAAATATTGGCTGTCTCTTTATAATATGCAGGAATCTCGTAAACCCCAAAAATGTTACAATATACTGCAGTTGTACGATGAACAAGGCCACGAAAATTGGGTAACGAAACTTAAATCTGTTACTTTTAGATTTGGTGATGTCTGGTACTTTCAAACATGTGGATATAAAACCGCGTTTTTAAATATGTTACGTCAGCAGTTAAAACCTTTTTTCAGGTTTGGCATGGTAATTTATGCGAAAACCCCCAAATGGCTTATTATGCACAGTTTAAAACATCCAATTCATGTGAGAACTGTTTGAGTAGTATAACTGTAAATAAAATCAGGACTCGTTTTGGGTTCAGTTCAATATTCCTCGTGAATTTAGAAAATGTAAAGTTTGTAACCTAAACCATATCGAAAATGAATATCACTTTTTAAAATTTTGTCTATGTTATAGCCATCTGAGGCAAAGTTTTTACATCTTTCCAAATATTCTGAAGTTTAATACACTACTTTCATCGCAAGACCCTATTATCAATACCCTATGAATACAGAAAAGTACTTGTTTTTACGCCAATGCTGTAAGAACACAAATACTCCAACTTTGATAATATGCAATAATGTTAAAACTGCTTTTTCAAAAATAAAATGCAAAGGAATGTGTTGTATTTTATATTGTTTGCACCTAAATTGTATTTCGTTCGTACATAAAGTCCCGTGGCCTACAAGAACTGAATAAAGTGAAGACTCGTAATAGCTATTCGCAATAGCTTCCTTCAACTGTGCGCGTTTATTCAGGAACAACAAAAAGTAGAGCCATGGAACTTGTGTAAGTGCTGTACACCTTTCATATTCCAACAACCTCTCAACAATGACAACCTGGTCGTTATTTACAGGTTTTCTTTATGGGTCATAACTGACGATTTTGTAAATCTAGTGACAAAGGTGTATCTAGGGACACTATACAATATGACGTTATTTACGTTACTACCTTGCTTCCATGGTAACGGAAAGGGCATCTGCAGAGCTGATTAATCGATATTCAGAGATTTACCATAATGGCAATATAACCGAGGCATCTGATTGGTCGAATTTAGCTTTTGTCAGCTCCCCACGAAGTGCTACAGAGTACAAATATTCGATTCCTACATGCTTTGAAAAGGCAGCAATAGATGCGGATGTAGGTGTAACATGACTTCTTTTGTTCATGATTAGATGAGTATTCGCTTGAATGAAGCTAAATGCAGTCTGGTATTAATTTTTGAAACGTATTCTCGGTGGGCGACCATGGAGATCTCATCATAGACGATTCGTTGACGCATTGACGCATGGTCAAGAGGCATGTCATTGTTCTCCCGGTTCTACATGTCCGTTTCCGGGAATTGATTGGTGATGACTAGTGCAGTTTGCCTGTACTTTGTTAGCCGCCTGTGCTAAACACAACACAGAGAGGACGGAACTGTGCCTACATGTGAGATCGCAAATGCCGCACTGATCAGGAAGATCAAGAGCGACGCTAAAAAAGCCATACACAGACCCGGAAACGACCTAGAAAACAATGATGTGATCACCAAACTGAAATCAATGACGTCGACAATTGAGCTTCGTCACGGCTTGTTGTGTTCTCCAAACAGATGACATCATAGATGGATAACGTCAACAATCAGCTGACGTCAGAGACAATCAGACTCTCTGCACTGCACGCGACAGACGGATGTGTTGCTTTCGGAAACCACATGTCGGCATAACAAAGGCCAGTACTGATCAGATGGCACTGGTGTTTGGATCAGGTAAGCTTATATTTTAAGTTCCTTGAGGTGAAAACAGTTTCGATTGGTATCTAAACACTGTTGAAAGCTGAAAAGTGACAATGGCGCGCGTCCAGAAGACTGCTACGGCTTTGGCTTGATGGTTCATTGATCTTTACGTCTTTATTTTTTGTCATTTCAAGTGATTTGACAAAGTCGACATCGATGTTGAAGCTGTCCCACGCAGACGTAACCTTTGACGTAATTTAATAGTCAACCAATGAATTAATTTTGCTGTTTTCATGCGACGGAAGCAGGTCATCAAAACATGTTATATACATGCTTGTCTAATGAAGAAGGGAGGTGATTGTATATTGTCAATATTGCAGGAAATAAAGGCTTATGTTTTGGAATACGTTGGTCGGGATCCTTTCTTTTTCCTCTTTTGTTCATGATAAGGTGATTACGGAACTGCGCCTACATGTGAAATCGTATATGCCTCACAAGTGGCCTGGAAACGGCCCAGTAAACAATGATGTGATCACCAAGCTGTATATTGTGTTCTTCAAACTTTAACTTATGAGGCAGATAAAGTCAGCTGAGATAAACACCATGTAGTTCACAAGGCGGGATAGACATTACTACGGTTTGTTCCAGACCATTAACAATCTGAAGGGACTACAATGGGCAAGTCATTTTACACTAAAATTTTGTTACTTTACATAAACCAATTGTCCGAAATAACTGGGACCAGGTGGGCAATGGTGTCTACCCTGGCAAGTTCTTGAATTCCACTTTTTGCCATTTAAAGCGTTATTGCAATCTCTGAGCTGTCATGACAAAATATTATTTTGTGATTTGTGCTGTCTGTAATTTCTTTCTTTTTTAGTGAATTTCCAGACCTGTGGAGAATAGGTCCTCAGCAACCCATACTTGCCAAAACAGCCTAGTATACTTGGCATAAGAGTCGACTAACAGGATCAGGTGATCAGACTCGCTGACTTGGTTGATGCATGTCATTAATCCCAATTGCATGGATTGATGCTTATGATATCAATCACTGGATTGTCTGTCCCAGACTCGATCATTTACAGACTGTCGTCATATAGCTGGAATATTGCTGAGTGCATCGTTAAACAACAAACAAACAACAAAGTTCATTTCCAAAAAACGAGTGTCCTATTACGTAACTACAGACGATGTCAGAATTCTTTGGTTCGTCTGTACCCTTCCACATAACAAGTAAGGGAAGTCTACTAGCTTTATGTTTACTTACAAAACAAGAAAATAGTAATGCAAAGTGAGAGCAACAGAAGTATATACAAATAATTAAGAGGGTATGTATGTTCTCATATTTACATTTCACATATATTTTAGAAAACATTTTACAGACATTTGTTTTAAAATATTTACAAATATATTCAAAAATAAATTAATAAATAATTGTAATTTTTATCCTTATGTTCCTTTTAGGGAACTGTTTTATTGCAGGTTAGGATTTATCACAACCTACCTCTGATTTCCAATTAATTCTTTGGAGTTTCAATCATAAACATTTATACAGCACAGCAATTAGTGAATCAATCAACACATGTGCTGTAATGAGAACTACACCATCATATGAAGTGCCTCATGTGACCAACATAAAGTTGGTCACAACTTGGTCACAAACATCCTTAGCAAATAAATAAGCTTGCATTTGTGACCTTGACATCACCATCTGAATGTTGACAGAAATCAAATCTTAACAAAATTCATTTTTTCAATATCAGCATGATTTGAGAAGCAACATTCAATGATAAACGTCATTTGAAAGAAATAGATGTCAAATATAAAATGGACAATATATTTGCTTCAATTTGAATAATTTGCAGGTCCTTTGTTGAATGACAATTTGTAGGTCTGCATGTTTCTGTGACCTTCTCTGACCTTAGACCTGAAATAATCCTGGACAAATTCTCCGAATAAGGAAAGATTTGCAGAAAATGTAACTTACCGCAGAATTGCAAATATATCTCAGAAATATCAGTGACACTATGCATAGGAATTTACAATAATTGTTTAGGGGTATAAAGGGTTGTTTTTACTGCAGAATTGAGTGATTTTAGCTGCAGAATTTTGATAATTTTACCGCAAAATTTGTTGGGGACTGCTGAAACATTGTGGACCTAAAACGTTGCAGGGTGAGAAGTTCCTGGTGTACATCAGGGTATCACTTGTAGATTACAGCTTGTGACATTCCAAAAACACACATGAACAGAAGGAATATTACCAATATATCACAATTTAAGGACACAGTTCCAGTATTTTGAAAATCAAACTTTACTTTTTAACCCTTGTACTAGAGAACAGCACACTGTTCAAATGCATATCAACATTCTTAGGTTAAAGTACCTTGAGCAAGGTCTTCATAATCGATAAAGATTGTTGTTGAATTTACCAATTCAGAAGATGTCCACAGCATGTAGACATACCAATTCAGAAGATGTCCACTGCATGTAGACATACCACTTCAGAAGATGTCAACAGCATGTAGACATACCACTTCAGAAGATGTCAACAGCATGTAGACATACCACATCAGAAGATGGCCACTGCATGTAGACATACCACTTCAGAAGATGTCAACAGCATGTAGACATACCACTTCAGAAGATGTCCACAGCATGTAGACATACCACATCAGAAGATATCCACAGCATGTAGACATACCACTTCAGAAGATGTCCACAGCATGTAGACATACCGCTTCAGAAGATGTCCACAGCATGTAGACATACCACTTCAGAAGATATCCACAGCATGTAGACATACCACTTCAGAAGATGTCAACAGCATGTAGACATACCACTTCAGAAGATGTCCACAGCATGTAGATATACCACTTCAGAAGATATCCACAGCATGTAGACATACCACTTCAGAAGATGTCAACAGCATGTAGACATACCGCTTCAGAAGATGTCCACAGCATGTAGACATACCACTTCAGAAGATGGCCACTGCATGTAGACATGCCACTTCAGAAGATGTCAACAGCATGTAGACATACCACTTCAGAAAATTTCCACTGCATGTAGACATGCCACTTCAGAAGATGTCAACAGCATGTAGACATACCACTTCAGAAGATTTCCACTGCATGTAGACATTCCACTTCAGAAGATGGCCACAGCATGTAGACATACCACTTCAGAAGATGTCCACTGCATGTAGACATACCACTTCAGAAGATGTCCACAGCATGTAGACATACCGCTTCAGAAGTTGTCAACAGCATGTAGACATACCAGTTCAGAAGATTTCCACTGCATGTAGACATGCCACTTCAGAAGATGTCAACAGCATGTAGACATACCACTTCAGAAGATTTCCACTGCATGTAGACATGCCACTTCAGTAGATGTCAACAGCATGTAGACATACCACTTCAGATGATGGCCACTGCATGTAGACATACCACTTCAGAAGATGTCCACAGCATGTAGACATACCACTTCAGAAGATGTCCACAGCATGTAGACATACCACTTCAGAAGATGTCCACAGCATGTAGACATACCACTTCAGAAGATGTCCACTGCATGTAGACATGCCACTTCAGAAGATGTCCACAGCATGTAGACATACCACTTCAGAAGATGTCCACAGCATGTAGACATACCACTTCAGAAGATGTCCACAGCATGTAGACATACCACATCAGAAGATGTCCACAGCATGTAGACATACCACTTCAGAAGATGTCAACAGCATGTAGACATACCACTTCAGAAGATGTCCACAGCATGTAGACATGCCACTTCAGAAGATGTCAACAGCATGTAGACATACCACTTCAGAAGATTTCCACTGCATGTAGACATGCCACTTCAGAAGATGTCAACAGCATGTAGACATACGACTTCAGAAGATTTGCACTGCAAGTAGACATGCCACTTCAGAAGATGTCAACAGCATGTAGACATACCACTTCAGAAGATGTCCACAGCATGTAGACATACCACTTCAGAAGATGTCCACAGCATGTAGACATACCACTTCAGAAGATGTCCACAGCATGTAGACATACCACTTCAGAAGATGGCCACAGTATGTAGATATACCACTTCATCAATCCAATGAGAGGTTAGACAATATAGATAGTGTTCCAGGCCTATTGATAATGGCATCTGGGGAAATAGATATTTTCAACAAGCCCCAAGACACACTCTTTTGGACTCTGGACTGTTTTTGAGTTTATCTTCTATTGATAATATCACCAATCCATTCAGGATTCGTCCATGAAAATCCTCTCCAACTCAACAACCACTAGCTGCATGATCCCAATCTGTGGCCGGGATTCAGATGTCTTGGATACAATATCTCGTAACCTAGCAACAGTTGTTATTCTTTCCTCCTCCTCAATCTCCTCCGAGTCATGGTGGTAGCAGTCTGTTGGGTAGGAAGTCCGGAAGACCTTCAACTGCGGGAGTTGGGCAACAGCTTCTGTGATGTAAACCAGTGCCTCTCGAGATACACGGTTCTCGGCCAGGTTTAGAAACAGCACATACTTTAACATGGAGAAACTTGGCAGCAAATACTCAAAATGTTCATCCATGAGTCCACAGTCTTCTGCTTCAAACACAAGCAATGTATTTGCTAAAGCACTAAGAAGTTTGCTGAGGTTCCGGCATGCGGGACCAAGACTATTTTCACTGAGGTCAAGTTCACAGAGGCCCATTGTATGATGGGATACAGAAAGGTAAGTGATATCAGACACTGTAAGTCCACATGCTGCCACTCTTAAGTACTGAAGAGGTTTGGGAATGTTAGACAAAAGCCTTCGCAACTTAGTTTTGATTCTGTTGTTACTGAGATCCAGCCTGGCCAGGTTAGGCATGTGTGTGAATGTTTCGGAGAGTCTGTCAGTGGCAGCATCACTCATATAGAAGTAGATGGAGTTGCAGGACAAGTCCAGGGCTGTCAGGTTGACGAGGGTTGAGAACGCTGGACTTAGCTTGACGATGTCGTCAATGGTGAGGGAGTTGTACTTGAGCTGCAGCCCCTGAACATACTGCAATATAAATATTCATTATGCAGTCGAACCTCGTTGTGCCGAACCTTGTTGTGTCAAACTTTGATGTGTCGAATTCCCGGTTGTTTCAAACTCATTTGGGAGTCCCAAGTATCCACATTAAGCATAAAATGCCCCTGATGTCTCGAACCCTGGATAACTCAAACTTTTTTTCAGGTCCCAACAAGTTCGACACAAGAGGTTTGACTGTCGTTAAACAGGTGCAACCAAGGAAAATACATTCTGTTATGATAACCATCCTGAACCCATTTGCTACCATAGCTTCTGAGTGAACGAGGGAGTGAGTTGGGTTTAACGCAGCTTTTAACAGTATTCCAGTTATATCGCGGCATGTCAGCTTAATGTGGGAGGAAAGCCTGATGTGATGCAGGTCTCAGATGTTTACTACTTTGGTAGTCATAGGTTCCTGGCGTGCCCAAGGGACGCAACTCTGCACAGCGAATCACAACACCTTAGATGACTGGGCCACCCGTGCCCTCACCATAGCTTCTGGCCCAGAGAAACCAGTGGTTGACATTATGAACAACATCCCAATCCATCAGGGTATGATGACGCTCATTCAACCATGTCACTGAGTCTGACCACAAGATCCATTAAGCTGTTTATTACATCAACCATAGGTTACTAAGGACCAACTGTACACCCAAGCTTCTAAGGAGGTAACTGATCAGGGAGCTTGACATCACTTTCAAAACTAAGCCATGATAGCAAATGGGCCCAGGATAGAATGTAGAAAAAACCCATTGGGTAACCATTACATTGGGAATAAGCCATCCACAAACGATCATATTATGAATCTGCTCTGCTGGACCTAACCCTTTGTAAATCCAACCCATTCAATACTATGACTGTAAGTGATGTGACACCTCTCCTCAGCTAGGTGACGCGCTTTATGCAGCAACACAAAACCCTGGACCAAGGCTTGTTACCCGCTTTTCCCAATCAAATTGTCCGGGATTGTTAATGGACAAAAGACACCTCTAGTGGTAAAAACAAGTTATATGTCCACCTCATGTCAGATATGTGATATACACGATATATGACCACCTCACCTCAGCTATGTGATATACAAGATATATGACCACCTCACCTCAGCTATGTGATATACAAGATATATGACCACCTCACCTCAGGTATGTGATATACAAGATATATGACCACCTCACCTCAGCTATGTTATATACAAGATATATGACCACCTCACCTCATTTATGTTATATACAAGATATATGACCACCAGGGGTCCGGAAACCGTCATATGCGCCGGACATGTCCGATTGGGAATCTCAAATGTCCGTTTTAAAATATTGCTTACCGGACATTTTAAAAAGTATTGTCCGGACATTCTTAAATTTTGACCGGACATGATCAACAGTTAGGACTGAGCAGTTTCTGTCTGCAGTTGGAACACAATGAAGATTAACTACACTGACAAGCTTTGTTTGTTTTGATTGCTGTAAATACATCGTACCTACATGATAGTCCAATCGGTCAATCACTGTAATAGGCAATAAACTGAGTTGACACTGATTAATCGAGGATTAATTACTGAGAACATCTTGTTAATTTGAGTGAAAGGTGTTTACAACTGTACATTAATACCTTGCATCATCGATGTACCTCATTATCCTCACAATGCTACGATACGAAACCTCAGACAAGAAGCGAAAGCGTGACGACAGCCAGTCGACCGGATCTGCCAAACCCTCAAAGTCTGGACGATCATTTTGTAAGTCGTGGCTAACGACTTTCACTTGGTTGACATGCAATGAGGACTTGCAGATTTTATTGTTTTCAGTAGCTAGTCGTATATTGAATCTTGATTGACCGCCATTTTGCTTTCTCGGACGATCGATATCCAATTTTTTTATGGTCAATAATTAAGTACAGATGAAAAGAGTATTCAAATAACTATTGCTATCAACGATATTTTAGTATTTGTGATTAAATTATCTGTCTTGTTTTTAAAAAAATCTTTAGTTTAAAAAAAACCTTTTCCCATGAGGTCACGTGATAACCAAATATGGGATAATAGTCTCGATCCAAATGTTACAACGCGTACACTTGAGCAGACTCATGAATATAACTCATGAATATTAATTAGACCGTTCACTACGTTAACAGATCGTTATTATAACAGAAACAAACGGATGTTTTCCATGTAAATCTAAAATAATATTATTTGTTATTAATTGTCCGGTGAATTAAACAATTTAAATTGAAACAATTCATAATTCATCATATTATGAATACGTAAACTTGTAATGTGTGTGAAAAGTTGTACTAAAATACGCTATTTGAAGGGGGCGTGGCCTAAATGTAAATGTCCGATTGGGATTTTAAATTTTCCGGACCCCTGATGACCACCTCACCTCAGGTATGTGATAAACAAGATATATGACCATCTCACCTCAGCTATGTTATATACAAGATATATGACCACCTCACCTCAGCTATGTTTAAAACAAGATATATGACCACCTCACCTCAGCTATATGATATACAAGATATATGACCACCTCACCTCAGCTATGTTATATACAAGATATATGACCACCTCACCTCAGCTATATGATATACAGGTGATATGACCTCCTCAGCTATGTGATATAGAAGATATATGACCACCTCACCTCAGCTATGTGATATACAAGACATATGACCACCTCACCTCAGCTATGTGATATACAGGTGATATGACCACCTCACTTCAGCTATGTGATATACAAGATATATGACCACCTCACCTCAGCTATATGATATACAAGATATATGACCACCTCACCTCAACTATGTGATATACAAGATATATGACCACCTCATCCCAGCTATGTTATATTCAAAATATATGACCATCTCACCTCAGCTATATGATATACAAGATATATGACCACCTCACCTCAGCTATATGATATACAAGATATATGACCACCTCACCTCAGCTATGAGATATACAAGATATATGACCACCTCACCTCAGCTTTGTGATAATCAAGATATATGACCACCTCACCTCAGCTATATGATATACAAGATATATGACCACCTCATCTCAGTAATATACAAGTGCTATGACTACCTCACCTCAGCTATGTGATATACAAGATATATGACCACCTCATCCAAGCTATGTTATATTCAAAATATATGACCACCTCACCTCAGCTATATGATATACAAGATATATGACCACCTCACCTCAGCTATGTGATATACAAGATATATGACCACCTCACCTCAACTATGTGATATACAAGATATATGACCACCTCATCCAAGCTATGTTATATTCAAAATATATGACCACCTCACCTCAGCTATATGATATACAAGATATATGACCACCTCACCTCAGCTATGTGATATACAAGATATATGACCACCTCACCTCAGCTTTGTGATAATCAAGATATATGACCACCTCACCTCAGATATATGATATACAAGATATATGACCACCTCACCTCAGCTATGTGATATACAAGATATATGACCACCTCATCTCAGCTCGGTAATATACAAGTGCTATGACCACCTCACCTCAGCTATATGATATACAAGATACATGACCAGCTCATCGCAGCTCGGTAATATACAAGTGCTATGACCACCTCACCTCAGCTATGTGATATACAAGATATATGACCACCTCACCTCAGCTATATGATATACAAGTGCTATGACCACCTTACCTCAGCTATGTGATATACAAGATATATGACCACCTCACCTCAGCTATGTGATATACAAGATATATGACCACCTCACCTCAGCTATATGATATACAGGTGATATGACCTCCTCAGCTATGTGATATAGAAGATATATGACCACCTCACCTCAGCTATGTGATATACAAGACATATGACCACCTCACCTCAGCTATGTGATATACAGGTGATATGACCACCTCACTTCAGCTATGTGATATACAAGATATATGACCACCTCACCTCAGCTATATGATATACAAGATATATGACCACCTCACCTCAACTATGTGATATACAAGATATATGACCACCTCATCCCAGCTATGTTATATTCAAAATATATGACCATCTCACCTCAGCTATATGATATACAAGATATATGACCACCTCACCTCAGCTATATGATATACAAGATATATGACCACCTCACCTCAGCTATGAGATATACAAGATATATGACCACCTCACCTCAGCTTTGTGATAATCAAGATATATGACCACCTCACCTCAGCTATATGATATACAAGATATATGACCACCTCATCTCAGTAATATACAAGTGCTATGACTACCTCACCTCAGCTATGTGATATACAAGATATATGACTACCTCACCTCAGCTATGTTATATACAAGATATATGACCACCTCACCTCAGCTATATGATATACAAGATATATGACCACCTCACCTCAACTATGTGATATACAAGATATATGACCACCTCATCCAAGCTATGTTATATTCAAAATATATGACCACCTCACCTCAGCTATATGATATACAAGATATATGACCACCTCACCTCAGCTATGTGATATACAAGATATATGACCACCTCACCTCAGCTTTGTGATAATCAAGATATATGACCACCTCACCTCAGATATATGATATACAAGATATATGACCACCTCACCTCAGCTATGTGATATACAAGATATATGACCACCTCATCTCAGCTCGGTAATATACAAGTGCTATGACCACCTCACCTCAGCTATATGATATACAAGATACATGACCAGCTCATCGCAGCTCGGTAATATACAAGTGCTATGACCACCTCACCTCAGCTATGTGATATACAAGATATATGACCACCTCACCTCAGCTATATGATATACAAGTGCTATGACCACCTTACCTCAGCTATGTGATATACAAGATATATGACCACCTCACCTCAGCTATGTGATATACAAGATATATGACCACCTCACCTCAGCTATGTGATATACAAGATATATATATGACCACCTCACCTCAGGTATGTGATATACAAGATATATGACCACCTCACCTCAGCTATGTGATATACAAGACATATGACCACCTCACCTCAGCTATGTGATATACAGGTGATATGACCACCTCACTTCAGCTATGTGATATACAAGATATATGACCACCTCATCTCAGCTATGTGATATACAAGATATATGACCACCTCATCTCAGCTATGTTATATACAAGATATATGACCACCTCACCTCAGCTATATGATATACAAGATATATGACCACCTCACCTCCGCTATGTGATATACAAGAGATATGATCACCTCACCTCAGCTATGTGATATACAAGATATATATATGACCACCTCACCTCAGCTATGAGGACCTTGAGGAGAATGCTTAGTCTAGCCTCTCCGAGACACGTAGCGCCAAGACGGACGATGCACAGCCTGACCCGACTGTGGGGGAAGCTGGACACCTTCAGGGCCTTACACAGCTCACTGTGAGTGGACTCCGATGTCACGAAGGCATCAAGTTTAATCATAATACCTGAAACAGACAAGACCAGTAAATTTCTTGTATTAATCTTCCATCCATCATGATGTCATTTCTTTTCAGGGAAACACTGATCATTTCTGTGGTCTGTCTCCTCAAAGAATTCTTTCCAAGTATGTTTTAAGTAGGACAAAGTAAGATTATCTAAGAATTATTAGGATAAAAATGATTGCTTGAACGAACTACAGTTTTCTGGTAGTGAAGGCAGCACAGGATCAATGTGGGCTGGGAGGTCTGGACGGTCATAGCTGGGGATAGTGTCATTGTAGAGACGGATCTGCTTGTTCTGCTGTGATTCAGTGAACGCCAGCATCACATGTGATGCCAGGAAGTACACAATTACCTCAGCTGCAAAACAAATAGCTAACATCATTTACTATGATTACAGGTCATAGAAACTTGGAATTAGCAAACATCATTAATATCATTGCCTATTTTGAAAATAATCATTAGGAAATTTTGATAACATCCAGCATGATCATTCAGTGTCCTAGAATGTAAACCAATCTGAAACAGTAACCATGGTAACCATGAAACCAAATTTATGCTTCTCATCCTTACTTTCTCACAATCATAAGATCCATAAGAAACTCAGGATGTCCTCACAAGTATGATCTGTAGCAGTGTAAGTAACTTACATCAAGGTAGCCACTATACTAAGATGCTAAATATCATGATACTGATGTGTCAGCAGTGTTGTTTGGTTTTTATTAGACTGATTATGTACATAAAAATGTTACTACATGCACTGTACAAAGTTTAATTAAATGAAAAAATAAATAAATAAAAATAGCTCAGATATCTCTGGAATATTCAATTGGAATACGATTCACCATGTTCAAAATACCAACAGACTATGCTTGAGTCCTTGAGCATGTTCAGGGTATTCATTGTGAAAGGTTAGGTCAAGCTGCTGCAGGTTATTAGACTTGGTACTGTAACGCTCCTGGGTCGTATGCTAACATTCATACCTGGGTCGTACTCAAACTCCACGAGAGCCACAACAACACGTCTAGTCATTTCGACTTCATTTACTCAAGTGCCAAGAGGTGTGGCCCGTGCACAATGACATAATCAGTCTGACGTCACCAGCTTGCGTCATGTGACATAAGTCGATCTATTTCTAGTATGTAAACACAACAGGTACCATTTGTTACCTGTTGTTAATATACTTGTAGGAAACAGGGTTAACATGTTTCGGTAACGATACTGCAAGTCAGTAGACATGCAAGACTTACCTGTAGGGTACCCAGTTAGGTCAAGGTACCGTAGATTAGTTGGCTGTCTTTTGCGTAGACTTTCTATGAATGTGTGAGCCATTGTTGTGGTATAACGAAGACTTTGCCTCACAATGTCTGCCAGGTACACAGAGTTGTACAGTGGTAACAGCGACGTGAACACGGGAGGTGCTAATCCCGACAGAGACATGGTTGACAATGGCCAATGAGATAAAAGAACCTCAATTGCTCTATCACGGTTGCCAAGCAACGCTTCATGCATGAGAGGCAAACATAATGTCTGGGGCATCACTTCAACCGCCTGGTAGGTCATGGTGGAATCCTTGACAATATAAGCAGCACATAAGTGGGTAAGGGTCGGAACTTTTCCCTTGGGTGACTTGGACCAGGCACAGTTGGCTTGAGCATGGAGATCCAGGGGGTACACGGCCCCCTGGTAGTGGTCGTACCACAGCGACTCCATGTTGCTGGCCATGGTCTACAGCATGGAGACGCAACTACACTGTGGACCTTCTCAGCATCATCAACAAGCCGGGACACCTGAAAGAACAGAACCATGAAATAATGCAATGATCACACCTGAATAGCTGTAATGAATAAATCATGATGATATATGATCCGTTTTACAAAATCAGCATTCTTGACACTTGTCCAGGTTTAACAAACCTTGTTTCGTCTTGGAAGCTCGTTTTCAAATCTCGTGTTAGATCTACTTGACGTGTTGATATTGACATAGACATAAGAGGAGAATAAAAAGGTATTTATAAATCAAAAGGTATTTATAAATAGACATCAAATGCTATGTTCAGATTACATTATTCATCCACATTAAGCTCCATGCCGCGATCAGTGTCATGCATTTCTATTAATATTATTGCATTTAGATCTTGTTATGATCAATGTAAGAAAGAGAGTTTGGTCATAATTTTGGGAGTGTAACTGTCTTACATATATCATGGAAGTTTCCATGTTCAGTGTCTGAGTTCAATAGACCTTTCGTTGTATGTTACCTGTCAATGATTCTAGAAATGGGAACAAAATATCCCTGCAAAGAAGCTGGTAGAACCTGTCCAAATTGTACCTATAATAGATCTATGTGTATCCCAGTTTTATGGGTTTTCGGACGCTTAGAAAGATTCACACTTTTCTCTCTATTTACATGAACAACTGTGAAACATCTTATTCGTTTTTAAAAGACAACTTTCTCTTAAAAACAAGCTATCATCTGATTATTTACAATGTCTGTGTAATGCTACTCCCCCCGTTTTACCGCGAGTAATCGCGATAACATGGCCGTCGAAAAACGTATGACGTCCGAAAACCTCTAATGCGACGAATTCTATTTCCAAATGAAAAATGTGTTTATGGTGAAATGATGACAATATTGAAGTAACGTTACCAAATGTTTACTGTCATATATTTGATCAACCAAACTGAAAGAAACTGTGTCTATAATAAGATTCGGTAACTCAGCCTAGTGTTCCCTGTCCCCAACAACCTCAATATTCCCGGAAGTTGGGCCGTGTTGTCTCTTTCGACAAGATTAGCCTATGCAAACAATTCGCTATTTTCCGCACGGGTTTGTCATCAATTCAGTAATAACCATCAAAGAATAATGTGATAGGTATACTGATTTTACAGATTCATGTGAGTTCCTTAAAGTCAACATTACCCCCGCTGGAGCTCCACTAAGAGTAATTCGTCTAATCGAACACACAATTCACGTGCGTGTAATACTACTTCCGGTAACTTTTGCAAGATGGCAGCCTGCAGACCATTGCATGTGTTGAAGCTGTGCTCGTCAATATCACGTTTGCACCAACCATCGTAAGTAAATGAGAACTAACACGGGAGTAGTGCACTTAACCGGCCGCATTTTGGGGATTTAAATAAGCGCCGCGTGGGATCGAACTCACTGTCAGTGAGTCGGTTAACACGAAAATTGTGCACTTTGAAACTGACAGACTGACTTTTGGTTAAAAGCACGAAACTTAAAACAACACTTGGCACATGTATACATTAAACCATTCCGAACATATGTGGATATAGATCCACCTCACACTCCGGCGCATTGGTGACTAAGCATAACATCACTGCCACAGGCTAATTTGCGTATCATGTGAACGGACTTTTCTCTTGTTTGTAAACAATCTCATTAAAATCAGATCTTAGTCCTCGCTACCACTAAACAAAGATCTGAGGACATCCCATTAGGTGTCACGTCAGAACAACCTTTCATCCAACAAATCAGTGCGTCGCTTACCAGATCCTGAAAGTGACAGTCGGAATGTCATTTCTAATCATGCAACCTCGAAAATAACACAGGGTATTCAGAACGATAGCTACGGGCTTAACGACTGAATCCATACAATCTAGACCGTCTGTTTAGCCATGATGTTCTTTTGTTCTTTTGTTCAGGTTTCAAATTTTTAATTGAGAATTTGTCAAAATATGTTTTGAAGCGTAATCGCCAATTTGAAATTAGTGCCGTAAAGCATGAGAAAGCTACCTTCTGATTGGCTAATGTCAACTTCATGTCAGTCATTCCATTGGTCGGTCAAAGTTCGCGCATTGTCAGTCTGACGTAATGTGGTGTCCTCAGATCTTTATTTAGCGGTAGCGAGAACTAAGTTTTGATTTTAATTAGATTGATTCTGAAATAAGAACGGACTGACCTAATGGTGCGCTTTACACACTGTTTTGCATAATTATATAGATCTGTACTACAACTGCGACATTGAGGCGCATGACAGTATATCTTTATGCATCAAAGTGAATGTATCGTTGGCCCTCTGTAGGTCTTCAATGGAGCCATACAACCGTACAATCAATGTAAACAAAGGCTAACTATGCAATTGGAAATAGTTTTTCACTTTTTAATATATTTCCTCAATGAAAGTTAACCATTCTGTGACATATGTTTATCTAAGTGTGTAGACGTGTCAAAACTAAAACAGACAAAAACATATGCAATATACTGAATGGACTGTGTAAGATGTGACCAATTGTCACATGGTGCTAGCCTGTAGCAGAGGTACTGTGCTGGTTGCATGGAGCTCTGGGTTGGAGAGTGGGATTCACCTCAGCGGCTACTCCACACTCAGACATGACCCATGTTTATCTAAATGTGCAGACTCATCAAAAATGAGAAATTGAAAAACATATGCAATATCTAGAATGAAGTGCGTAAGATGTGACTAATCATCACAAGGTGCACGCCTGTGGCAGAGGTACTGTGATGGCCACATGGAAAACTGGGTAAGAGAGTGCAGCAACGCCTGGTGGTAGAAACATGTTTTAATTTGCTGGCGCTTTCAACTCGTACCACGTACGAGTCTCATCAGGCCATAACTGAATAACGGACATGAAGTAGTAACATATAGTTACGTGACGTCATAACATTTAGAGAACTATGACGTCACAATACCAAGGTGACAATGGACAAATAACTTACACCTTTACATTCAACTTAGGCGCATATTTATGAATGAAATGTTGCTCTTTTTGAAACAATGTAGGTTCATGATCAAAATTTAGCTTATATAGCGGGAAAACTAAAACGTTGCCTCTTCCACATGTATCTAAATGTTCACTTAGTGGAATCGTGCGGTTGTGTGGCTGCTTTATTTGTGAACGGTAAAGATTCATTCTTCTTTTTAATTTAAGTTCTGTCTTACCGATATACTTTTCATTGCATCCACTACAAACAATCAAGTAAATAACATTTCTAGTATCACAAGTCATATTTTGTTTTACAGTAAATTTAGTGTCCCTTGTAATTTGGACTGAACAGCCTTCAATTATATTGCTGCAAATTAGGCAACGTTTGTCACCGCACTTAGAAACCTGTGGAGTGATGACAACAGAATCAAATTTAGAACTTGTCAAAATCTTTCTAAGATTTTTGGGTTGTCTTTGGCTGTTGATAATTTTGTATTTGCTCAAGATCTTCTCCATTTTAATACTTTGATTCAAAATAGGCAGGTATTTTTGAACCATGGATATTGTTTTTTCATGATTAGGGTTGAAGGTAGATACTAAAGTCAAATTATTCCCCATATTGTTTTCTTCAGACTTTTCTCTCAGTTTTAGTTGCTCAATACTTAGCGCTTTCTGTATGCTATCTTTAATGAGCTTTGCGGAATAATTTTGATGCAGTAGGAAACTCTTAAGTTCAGCAAGGCTGGTAGTTTTAACATCATTCCCGGAAACAATGGTACAAATACGTCTTGCGAGACAGTAAGGGATATTATGTTTTGTATCATACGGGTGACATGATCCAAAATCCAAATATTGGTGTATATTAGTGGTGTAACGATACGGCGATACAGTATTGTATCCCGATGCACAGCCCACGATATGATGCATCGATTTGAAAAGCATGTATTGCGATACATACGATATTTTCATAACACAGTTTTACTTACCGTATTTTCTTGAGTATAGTTCACACTTTTTTCCAAAAAACACAGCTGTGTAGAACGGGGTGCGCATTATACACAAATTAATGAGTTTTGATGTTTTTCCCCCATGGAAAGACATTACCGTGAGCACGTAACACCGGAAATACCATGTCAACAAATCCATACTGAAGTTCACAAATTATTCATGTAATTACACTGTCTGGCTATAAAAAGTGTTCTTTGTATATCTGGACTTTTGTTTGTAACTTATTTCATTAATTTTATTCAAAATTCCTTTTAATATTGTTTTAATTAATTTCGGCGAAATCGTGTGTGAAGCGATCGGAAGATCGCACAACTCACCGTTATTAACAGCAACCACGGTCAGATTACCGCCCTTGACGCCTTGAAACGAACTTTAGTTGACAGAGAATGGATACATATATCCTAAATGACATACTTTGATTCGTTAAAAGTCATATTTGTTTTTGTTGGAAGATTCTATGTCAACACGTAATTCTCGCAATCAAGTGATCACGTGCACAGGAGCCTTGACGGTGACTGGTCAGACTGGTTGCATGTAAAAAATAATACCCGGCAATAGCGATCAGCTGCTTCGCTAAGGGTTATTATTATTTTAAATATGTTTAGTAAAAGCTGCATCTAAATTAACAAGATATTGGAATATATTATTCCTGATAAAAAAAATAGTTTCAGATACAACTTTTGTCGATCCTTGCATTAAAATCCTGTAAAGATATACCATTGGGTGTGTCTTGACCGAATCACCGGTAGATTCCAAGAAAATGTGTGTACAGTTGATTGCTGTGTCCAGCTTAGTTTACGAGAAAATACACAAGGTAATCTTAATCCCTGGATATAAAACAATGCCTAGCTGAACAAAAAATAGAATTTAAACGGTAAATCAACATGTCTGGTGATTTTTTATCTCAAATTTCGAATTTGTACTGACGAAGTTTTCGCATCACCCGTTCGTTTGCCGGACTTCGCTGAAGGAGTACAGTGTAATTTGTTTCTGCGCGTAAATTCAAATTTACTTTTTTTCCCCCAAATATTGAACCCGCTAGAGGGGGGGTGCGCATTATACATTGGTGTGCACTATACTCAAGAAAATACATGAAATACGTTTAACAGTTTCAAAGCCAGTTTGTTGTTTCAGTAAAACATACTGTATTGCTGACAATTTCCTATAACAGTAAATAAACACATTAAATCGTATCGCGACCCTCCCGTATCGTTACACCTCTAGTGCGTATCAGTATCTTTATAAAAGATATCAGTTTGTACAAATCTTCCAGATATTAGATTGATTCTTACATCGAAAAAAGGTTCAACTGGATTCGATATATAAACTTATATATCATAAGTATCTTGGTCACTTTATACAAATATTGGATCCATAGTAATGTATTCAGAATTAATTGCAACGATTCTGTATAAAATTCAAAGATATACTCAACAACAAAAGTTCCTGTGAAACCAATATTTTAGTGTATTTTTCAAACAAGTAAAGTTTGGTTTTCAATATTGTAGCACATGTATGGAATCAAGTCACCAAAACGCAACTGCTACAGAAAAGCATGCATCCATGCAAAAGTTGACTTTTATGCAAGCCCCATGCATTTCACTACCCAAGAATGTGTATAAATAAAAACATGTGCCTTAGCTGGATTCCATATGCATTGTTTAGCATCGTGCTGACAACAACCACTCAGAAAACAACAAAATTACGCAATTATTCAACTTTACGAAATGCCACTCCTGTCTGAAAATGAGCGTCTGCGAGCCATTGGTATGCTTGAAGCAGGATCGAGTCAACGTTATGTTGCAAGACAATTTAACGTCCAAAGAAACACTATTTGGTGTTCATGGCAACGTTAGCAACAGACGAATGCAGTCAGAGACCATCCTCGGAGTGGCCATGCGTAACTAATAATCGATGAGACAACTGGATTCGAACAACACACCTACGAAATCGATTCCAGTCAGCAACAGTGACTGCAAGAAGCATCCCTGGCCTTCGACGAATATCTTCACAAACCGTATGTCATCGCCTTAGATGTGCAGGGATTGTCGCCAGACGTCCCATTTTGACAGGAAACCACTGTCAAGCACGTCTACAGTGGTGCAGACGGCGTCTACGCTGGATGGCCATGCAGTGGGGACAAGTTCTATTCACTGACGAGTCTCGTTTTCACCTCAGCCACAGCGATGGACGCATTCGAGTGTACCAACGTTGAGGTGATGAACCTTACATCAATCATTGTGTCATGGAAGAAGATCGGTTCGGGGGCGGCAGCGTTATGGTATGGGGTGGGATTACAGCAGAGGACCCATTTGATAGTGGTAGAGGGAAATCTCAATGGACAGCGCTACCACAAAGAGATCATCGGCCCTGTTGTT